CTCCCTCCCTCCTTTTAGTGTTTTAGTTTGGGTCATAATTTTCCTTCTCTTTGTGTGCCTACTATTATTTTACAGTACATTATATATATGCTAGGAGCTCAGGACTGTATCCTAAGTGTATGGTGTAAGGAATGCCACCTTTGCCTGGGAAGTCTGATCCTTTCTCAGTCTGTCAGGCCCAGTCTTGTGCTTTGCTAGGGCAGATCTATTTTGGATGTGAATTTAGGATTGCCTGGATTATATGATGTCATCTTAAGGTTCTTATTTCTAAAGCAGAAACTCTATTCCCAAGAATAGTTTTACTGCAGTGTTAACTGATTCCTAGACCATATCTGTAGTATATCTCTGAGGACCATGTACCTCTGGTGTTACCACTTGCCTCACATCCCTGTAGCCATCAATTTCTGCTCAGTCTCAACAAGACTTGCTCTGAGCAAGTGCATCTCAGCCCTTACCAAGGACACGGTGAAGTCCTGCTCAGACTCTGGTGTGTCCCTCTGCAAAGATGCTTGCTTGCTTCCTGGAATCAAAAGTCCTAGCCATTTTAGTCAGAACTATGATCTCTGCCTGGCTCCTTCTCCCTATGTCATGGCAAGAACAGGTCTCTGGGAGAAAGTTGGCATAGCTTCTCTTCTTTTGGTAGCTATGGTCTTGTGGTACCCACTCATTTCCATAAAACAGTTGCTTTGTATGTTCATTTTGATGGCAGTATAAGTTAGGCACATTTATCCAGTCAGTGTGAGAAACTGAAGTCTCTAAATATATCTGACAATTATTTTGAAAAGCACAAATGCTTACATGTGATGCTTGCAGTAAGACTAAACTTGTATAATCTTCTGTGATCTTTAGTGATGGATTTAAAAAGTCTAATACAATAATTCACTTACCTATAGCTGCTGGACCTCTTCTGTATCACACATGAGAGCCACCACCAAGTCACAGAAGCCTGAGTCACAAGGAACCCATCCATACCTAGGGCTCAGGCAATGTAATTTCCTTCCAGTAACCTGAATTAAGAGGCTCAGTAATTGTATTCAGATGGTAATTGATGTTTAGCTACAAAATTATGTAGAGTTGGCAATGGAGTGGGCTTTAGAGCAAGCCAAAGTTATAAATGGTTGTGGCTATAGGAAACAAATAATCATTTGTAAGCAATCTGTAGAATTCAAAGTATATGCAAAGAACAAAACAAATGCTTTAGAAGCAGGGGGGAATGCAGAATGTTGTCCCAATAAATCTTCATACTGCTCCTAATGTTTAATCCCAAGAAGTGCCTACTATATCTTTCAGTAATTCCCATTTTATTTGATATGATTTCAGTAGCTACTTTCACCCACCCCTAGATATCTTTCAGTAATTCCCATTTTATTTGATATGATTTCAGTAGCTACTTCACCCACCTTTATAGGAGAGTCTATGCTAAGCAGGGCTGCACTGTAGACTGAAGGTGCTGTGTGAGCAACATAGAACTGACCCCAGCTATTGAGGTCAAAGTAGACTTCACTGAAGGATACAGACTTCAGGTTTATCCACATGGAAACAGAACTAACCGTACAACCAAACAAAATAGCACCTTTTACTTTAGTTTGCATTGTTTCCCCACCATTTGTTGCTTCTTTGTCTGCCTGCTGTGTAAATACCGAACTGCCTTGTTCTTCAACAGTTCTCAGTAGTTAGAGTACTATGTCTTATTTTCTTGGTTTTAGTTGCAGTTTGGACAGGAAATATTTCCCCAAATACTTGTGCACTGAAGACTTGATCTTTCTGAAGAGGTGTTTGGAGGTGGGGGCCTATGAGATGTGCTTGGATGGTGAGGGCTCTAACCACATCCACACTGGTCCATGGATGGTTTCATAGCTATATGGGATATTCAGAGGTTGCGGGGCCTACCTAGAGGAAGCATGAGCCTCCCTCTGAAGAGCATACTGTGTCTCCAGCCCACTCCTCCCTGGCTCTCTGTCTCTGTTTTCCGGCTGCCATGGAGTAAGAATTTCTGACTGAATCCTTCTGCCATAAAGTTGCACCTCCTCACAGGCCCAAGCCAGTGGCGTCAAGTGACTAAGACCTCTTAAAATTTAGGGACAATAAATCTTTTCTTCTTTATATTATCTTTCTTGAATGTTTTGTCACAGCAATGGAAAGCTGACTGCCACAGCTTTTTATGTTATGTCAGGCAAAGAGCTGCAGTTAAAACTTACAATCTCATGCTGTTAAAAAGTCTATGGAATTAGTTGGATTTTCATGTCTCCTTGGCTGATCCTTTTGCCCTCCTTTTATGCCTCTCGGATGTAGAACCATGTTAGGGCCACAGCAGCACTAAATGAGAATCACAACACTGGGTCTTAACTCTAGCTTGGCTGGTCCTTTTGTAGCCCCCCAACTCCCAGCATCTTGCTTTATCTCTCCAGTCCATAGAGACAGTGTTGAAGGTCTTAGGCCTTCCTTCATCTCAAAATATCATTGTGGAAACTAATGAGATCATATTCATAAGAGGATTTGATTTCTTCTTTGTGGCAAAACATCAAAGAATGAAAATCCACCCAGCAATTGTTGCCATAATACTCATAGTAAACAATAGGACATCTAAAGAGAGAAGCCTTAACTCCCTACTTTTTCTGCAATTGTAAAGGAAACTGAGAGGCGAGAAGACAGTGAGGACATGCAAGTCAGCCTGGGCGTGAGTGGCATGGCACCTGACTTTCCTTTGAAGGTAGGTGGTGTCAGGAGCATCCTGGAAGCTCCTCATCTACTCTGTGGCCACACAGCCCTGTCACTAGCCTCCTGAGAAAGCACCACAGAAAACAACTCTGTCCTCAGGAACGCTTGCTTTCTTGTGTGTTTCTGGGGTGTGTGTGGGGTATTGAATGGTGACATTTGGTGTCATGACAGTACAGATCAGTTTGAACAATCGCTTGCTGTGCCTGGATCCTGGAGTAGAAGACAGAGGCTGTTGTCAACACCAGACTAGACAAGTATTACATTTGAAATAGCCAGTGGAATAAGGACTGCATTTTTTTTCAGGTTCTGGATGGACTGTGCTTATGTGAAGAAAACATTCTGACTTGCTGTGGCAGAGGTCTCAGGCCCTACCACAGGAGTGCTAATGTTCTCCTTGAATGGAAAAGCCGGGGCCAGGAGGCAACCAACTATCATAAAAGTAATTAATTGTCCTACTTTTTAATGGCCTTGGCAAGACTGCCTTAAAAAAAAAAATGAATCACACAAACGTGACCATGATGCCAGACAGATTGTCCATTGGGACTTAAAAGACTGGTCCCTGCCATAAATCATGATAATGAGTTCATTTTTAAGCTGGTTTATGAGGCTGAGATGTGTGGTGTCGCACTATTTTTTTCCTAAATCTCTCACTGCCTCAAATGCTTCTCAGAATTCAGAGGCTAACATTTCCTTTCAGAAACTCCTTCCAACTTGAGTGGCTGCTGTTTTACCAATCAGGTCTTTTTCCAAAGATGGTTTTAGCACACGATTTTCATGACTCAGCTTAAACTGAACAAGACCCCATTGTTGGCTTTGTTTGCACACCAGCATTATTGACAAGCTCTGCCTAACTCTTGGGAAAAGGTCTGTTGTCTGACCAAGCTACTATGGAAACCCGATCCAGGCCGTTGAGAAGCCTAGTGCCTGCCCTCTTGAATTTGTGAAGAATTTTGAGGCCAGTCAAACTCAGCTCAGAAAATATTCATCAGGGCAGAGGGCACAGCTTGTTCACACCACTTCACTTTTCATCTCAAATCAGCTGTGCAAATAGACTCACTGGCCCAGGGTGAAAGCGGCACTGCCCATGGGGTCATTGTAAACCACGGAGGTTTCATTTATTTTATTTCTACATTATTCTGACTAGACAGGGACAGGACATGGAAAAACAGGAGCTTGGCTTCTTTTAAAAAATGTTTAAAAGGAATTCTCCCCTTGAAAACTGATTGATAGAAAAATACTGTAGCTAACTGCTCCACACCAGAAAATAGATCTTGCAGGTTTGAAAGAAGAGGCTAGAAATACAGTCTTTTTTCGCTCTCCCATGAGACACCCCTTCCTTCTTTAGAAACAAACCTGAGAAGAGAACCAACCAAGGAAATTACTTGTGGAGGAGGAAGGCAGACTCTGTGTTTGGGAACCTCATCTGCCATCTTTTGAGAGAAGTACAAAGAATGTTCTGCTCTGTGTCTTGTGAAGGCCTCACTCCACATTTTCTTGCTCACTGTTGACTGAGTCTTTAAAGGATGGAACATGCTTTGCTGCCATTACATCTATGTGTAAATCTCATCTCAGTAAAATAAGTATTACAAAATGTACCATGCGGTTGGCTGTTCATCATTACTGATGCGTCTTTCCTCGACTCCTTTGCTCTCGTTATGTAGTTATATAGTCATTAATGTATTAATGTTGGTACAAATAAAACAAAGAAGAAAGAGGAGTTTAACATTCTAGTATCATTTTGTCTTTCTCCAGTTATCTTGGTCTCCAGATAAGACCAAGAGACAAATGAAGTTGGGTGGCTTAGACTTTCTCAGATTATTTTCTGGGGAAAGTGCACTTCTTCCCTCCACCCTGGATTTCATTATAGAGTCAAGGAAAAGGCACAGGGCTTCGGGGAGGTGATGAGATTCCCAAAGACTCAATGGGAGGCAGCTTCTGGGGTGTCAAGGAAAAGGCACAGGGCTTCGGGGAGGTGATGAGATTCCCAAAGACGCAATGGGAGGCTGCTTCTGGGGGTGGGAGAAGATTGTTGATTATAAAATCATTGACTGATTCAGACAGAAGTCTTTATTATCTCCAGAGGGTGTTCCAGATGTTGGGGGCACACCACTAGCCCTCCCAGAACTTAAATTCTAGTGGGAACAAAGAGTAGAAACAGAATGGATAAGTAAGTAATAAGGTGGGGGATGTTGGAACGTCAGAAGGGCGTGGTTCTTATGTTAATAATAAACACTAGTGTAGATCCACCTGAGCAGTATAGTCAGTGGGATCACTTGAAGGGAGTGATAGAGCTCACCATCAGGATAGTGGAGGGAAAGCATCCAGATGAACAGAGGGCCTTAGACAAGAGCCTGTAGGTGCACCTGGGAGTATAGATGCTAGAGAGACTGCACAGACAGGCAAGGTGGAGGGAACAGGAGAGGAGTCTGAGGTGACTGGATGGTACACAGGAGGAAGGGACTGCAGCCCTTGTAAGGACTTCAGCTGTCACTGGACATGCAATGGGCTGTGTTCAACTCTTTGAAAAGCACTGTTTCAGCTTCTCTAACAATAGACTTTAAAAGGATCAGGATGAAGCAGAGAGACCAATGGGAAGTGATTTTTTATCTCAAGCCACAGAGGTCAGAGTGGGAAAGAAAGTGGTGGGGAAAATTCTGAATCAATGTTAAAGGTAAAGCCAAAACACCTCCTTGATGGGTGGCGAGTGAGTGAGTGCCTCTAGTTTGAGAAGTGCCATAGTAAGTGCCTGAGAGAAAAATCTCATTGTCCAGTGACACAACCTACAAGCAGCAATGATAGGAATGGCTGCTCCATCCTGATTGGCTCAACTTGGTCTAGACCACACTGAACTTCTGTCTTGTCCACCCAGTTTCTCTTGCTGACTATGTGGCCCCGGACACCAAGGTGGTACAGCAAAATTTACCCAAGTTTCTCTTTACAACTTATTCATTCTGAAACTAGACACACAGCACATGCCAGCTGTTGTTGAACTGAGTGCAGAGCCTTAGAGTCTGGGACTCAGGCTTTGGTTTATTCAGCCATGCTGGGATCTCTGTCTGGTGCCCCATGAATGGCTCAGTCCTGCCAACAGTAGACTCCCAGATAAAAATGATATTAGCTTCATTTTACAGATGAGGAAACCAGGGCTCATGGAACTGTTGGAGACTGCACATGAGTCAGGGGTGAGTCATGCCCTTGAGTATGTCAGGCCCATTCCACTCTCTAAAATTGTTCTGTAAGAGTCTAGGGAATAACTGTTTAAGTTTCTGAGGGTATTGTAGTCTTTGTCACAATTACTCTATGACTGCAATGAAACAGTCATTGCAAATACACGCAGACCAGCACTGCATTGTTCCAATATGACTTTATTTGTGGACATTGAAATTTGAATTTCATGTAATCTTTCTTTTTGAAACAAAGTTTCTCTGTGTTTCCCTGGCTATCCTGGAACTCCCTCTGTAGATCAGGCTGGCCTCAAATTCAGAGATCCATATGCCTCTGCTTTCCAACTGCTGGGATTAAAGGCGTGCACTACCACTACCTGGCTCATGTAATTTCCATGTCATGAAATATTATTCTTTTGTTTTTTCTCCAACAATTTAAAAGTATAATCACCATTCTTAACTCAGACATTATTTTAAAAGCATGGACTGTGGACTCCCATCTTTAGAATGCTCTAAGAATTTTCTGAAACAGTGTGCCAATAACACTGTGGTTCTCATACAATGGGAATTAGAGAAGAGGAAACAGAGGCCCACAGTGACCACTGGGTTGCCATGAAGGGCTTCCTTTTGGCTCTTTCCTCTCCTCTCACTGCTGCCTGGTGTCTGCAGAGTACTAAGGGTAACCACATCCCAGGACCTTGCCAGGGTCCATTCTGACCTTCAGTGTGATCAGTTCAGGCATCTTAGTTTAAAAAAAAAAAAAAAAGTCTCCACACCAGGTGGGAAACAAAGCCTTTTTTTTTTTTTTTTTTTTTTTTTTTTTTTTTTTTTTGTAAGTCTCCACACCAGGTAGGAAACAAAGCCTGGGCTCAGAGGAAACAAAAGAGGACATGGGCTGGGCTCAGAGGAAACAAAAGAGGACATGTATGGGCCAGCTTAGTTCCACATCTTTCAGGAGCCATAGCTTCAGCATAAACAAAGTAATTGTGTTTAGTCAGTCTGTCTTGACTCTAGACATCTTAGTATCTTCCCCTGCTAAGCTCAGACAGTCCTTCTCACTGACAGAACTCTCGGGTAGCCTGTCAACACGTTTTCTCTAGACCGTTTATCATGAGCGCTCCTCAGCTGGTAGTGTCTCAGAACCTGCAACACCTGCTGGATTAGAATCTACCAATGATGGTGAGGATGAAGAGTGATCATAGCACTTCTGATTCAGAACTAATTGCAAATTCTAAAACCAATATGGATATCATGATTTTTTTCTTTCATCCTCTTGTGTATCATAAATTAAGTGTTTTTGTTTAGTTGGTTTTTGCTTTTGATCAAACCAAATGATTAAAATCATCAAATGAAGTGGTATAATGAAGCTCCTCTAGCTGGTGCAGCATCACTCAGAAGATAAGCGAACATCATTGGAGAATGAAGAAGATAATGTTTGGGAGATCAATGGTCTGATCCGTCTAGAAGTTGGGCTTCTAGAAGCAAGTCAAGTGGCTTCTGGGGAGCATCCTAGGTTAGTATCCCAGAGAAGGCACCAGTTCATTGATAAAGAAGATGAAGAGTTAGGAGCTCATGATCTTGAGGATTCCCCTGTAGGTACAGTGAGATTTTGGACAGCTGAAGCAGTGAACTCTGAGCTGGCACTGTTCTATGGCTTAGTGCACACTGGGAACAAGAGGAAACAAGGGCTCAAAGGAGAAGACAAAGTAGTTCTGGAGTGCTGAGGTTGAGGTCCTAGTCTTCCCTGAGCTGCCACTGAAGTTCTGGGAGCCCCCTCCAGTTCTCACCTCCAGGAGGTTCTGCTACCAACATTCCAGTGCTCAATTTTTATAGGAGCCTTTCTGTGAAGTCCTTTTATTTGAGCTTTCTTGCACTAGCATTCCTGCCAACCAAGGAACAACAACTAACACAAATATCCAACCACCTGCTCATTCACTCTAGAGACTCTGGTTTCTGACTGCTGGGACCTGGTCATTGCTCCCGAGCAGTTTCATCGGGAGAAGGGACCAAAGATGCTATACATGAGAGAAATATAAAAACCACAGGGTACAGAGAAGTAGCAGAACACTGGAGCGGCTGGACATGTTTTAAATTCTTATGTAGGATAGCATTGCATATGTTCAGTGTTTCCATTGGACCATGCTTCATGGGTCTAAGCCAGTCAGGGAAGCTGTGTGGCTGGACTAACTCAGGGGATACCAGTAGACCACATAGCAGAGGCTGTAAGATCTTTTAGACTTTTGTTCATTCAACATTTTTGGCCGCTACTGTGTGCTAAATATCCTGAAAGGTCCTGGAATGGGGAATCAGGACACAGGTCTTCTCTCTTCAAAGGCCCTAAACTTCACTCTGACCTTCTTACACTGAAATAATCTTCAGTGTGGGCTTTTCTGTATTTAGGAAGTGAAGCAAATGTGTTAGGAGAAATGAAGGGATTAAGTGATTCACTTACTTCCTGGGGCCAGCATATCACATGGGGGAAGACACAGAATGGCAAGGTCAAAATGGAACTTTCAGGATGTCTTTATCTGCCTCTGCCTCTGTGGGGGAAGTCCCCCAAGTTGTCTGGAAGCTCAGTCCTCTCTCCTGTGCCTGGAAGAGATCCAAATGAGGAATTTCCATAGCTTGTTGGGCAATGTCTTGTTCAATTCCAACACACTGAACTTGTGCAGTTCTACTTGAACATAGGAGGGCTCTCCCTCTACCACCCACAATTGTATGCTACTACCAAAAATGTCACAGGTGACCCAATTCCTTCATTCAAATGTTATTTTTAGTAGATGTCGGAAAGGGAGGGGTATCATTCTGAAGCTGAGAGCCAATCCCCTGTATGCGCTTCTTCTTTTCATCTGTACCACCCGTGGAGGAAATGAGTGATACTTGGCCAGTCTCACACCAGAAGATGATGTCTGCCTGGGACCCAAAATAGTCAGTCTTCAGCCAAAGGATGTCTGAATCTTTTCTCTTCCAAAGAAATCAAAACTGTCCCCAAATTAAGTTCCACAGTACATAATAACTCTGCTAAGTAATGGACCAAATGCAATTTATCATTTCCCAAGAGACAGAAATAACACTAATAACTATAATTTAGATACAACTGCTCCTCAGATTGCAATCAGTCAACAGACTGTGTTTGTTTCTGTGACTTCTATGAAGTCTTAGCACTGACCTGTGATCCTTTACAGAAAATGCATGAAAATGAAATATTGCCAAATCTCACACTGTGTTCTTGTGATAGGCAGACTTTGGTTGCACTTGCCTCTGCCAGTCTGTAACTGGTCACTCTGTGAATGTGCACACAGATGTGTTTTTGTATGTGTGCATGCAGACATGTATTTTTTTTGTGTGTGTGTGTGTGTGTATGAGAGAGAGAGAAGGAGAGAGAAA